CTTGAGAGTGCTAATTGGGGCTGTTCGTGCTTCAGAAAGGTTTTATAACTAGTGCCTTGGACCTCCCCCAAGTGTAACAAACATGGCACCTTCCTATTATTAATTAAGACAGCCCAACGTTTTCAGGCTTCTGCACAGGACTTAAAACAAATAATGCTTTAAAGAATTCACTCATTCAGATTATTTTGATTCTTAAAGCAGCTGCATTCCCCCCACCCCCAACAAATTTGCATGATCCTGAAAAGATATGGGCTCTTTTGATGGATAACTGCAAACCACTATCCTCCCTCAAGGGCCCAAGCATTTCTTCCAGATATTGAAATCAGCATGTCAACTGTTTAGCATCACCCAAATGGGACCTGAAAGACCTTAAATTGATGGAACAAATATTTTTCAAATATTCTGAAGAAGAGCCAGGACTTCACATTCATGAATGAAGTTTGCTCTGTCTCTGGCAGTCCCTGTATATTGCACATTCTATAACCCTGCATGTCTCTAGAAAATGTGAGAGGCTTGATTTCTCCCTTTGTGTTCATTCAGTAAACCTTCTTTTCTGCAAGTATGTTTGTTTGAACTCAGTAGTGCCTGCTTCTGGATAGAAATGTAAAGAATTGTATGTTAAGGGTCTGAAAGTTCGTGTATAGCAACAGAAAAGGACAGATCACATGCAAACTGATATTGTTTCTGAGTTCAGTTACTAAATATGAATTACTGTTATGGATATGGATACAAGCTGAATGAGTGCTGATCAAGAATGATTTACATTTTCACTCTGCGAAACTGTGAAACTCTAATAGTTAAAATGTCTTCCATTGTCTCCAACAGGTGAGAGAGGAGAGAAAGGAGAGAAAGGAGACCCTGGCATTGGTCAGCGGGGTGAAGTTGGCCCTCCAGGAGTAGCAGGTGGGTGGTAGCTCATTCCCTACAAACTGACATTTGTGTGGCCTAATGCAACTTTCTCCAATCTTGACAAAGCTAGAAGTTCCAGAATTTCTACCCACCAACTGTTGGGCAGTTGGTGTTCAGCAATAAATTTCAAAGCTTCCTTGCAGCTAGGAACCTTATGATCAGGGATCCTCTTTGCACAGATGTTTTCTCTCTACACTTAAGCCCTTTTTCTATAAATGTTTGTGAAAGTGACATTACACGTGCACTTTGGTGTTTTTCAGCTTGGCATGAGGTCCTGGTTGATTTCTCTGCTCCCGCAAGAGAATCTGAGAGGCCAACACTTTCCTTTAATAAGTGGAAATAGTGATTTTAGGAACATGAAAACAATTATCTCTACCTTTTGCTTCAAACACTTTTAGCAGGTGGTGCTGCTAAAAAAAGGCACTGCTGTTTGAAGTAAGGGAGGTGGCTAAAACAAAGAAAAGCTGACTTACTAAGAAAAGCTCCTTAGAAACATGGTGAAAACCTGCCAAGAACATTGCCCTCTCTCTTGCTGGTCCTTTGATTGTATTTTTCCCCCCAAAGCAGTGCGTTGTAGACAGATTGATGGACCCATGCATGAAGCCACTGAACCCTGAATTGCCAATTCTACCGTAGTTCTGTCTACTAAGATTGTCCACACCATGGCAATCACACTTACCCACAACCCTTTGTTCTGTAGGTGTTCCAGGTGAACCTGGCTATGGAAAAGATGGGATTCCTGGAGCTCAAGGTCCTCAAGGAGAAGCTGGGGCTCCTGGTCTTATGGGCCCCCCAGGGCCTCCAGGGGCCAATGGACAATGTGACCCCTCCCAATGTGCTTATTATGCAAGCCTGGCTGCTCGGCCCAGCAACGTCAAAGGTCCCTAAAAATGTAGCCTCCGTCGCTGCCTGTGGACTTCTCATGGACCTACTTCAGAAAACTTGGATGAAGCAAGGGAGTTGGGAGATCCAGTCTGTTTTGCTTCTGTTCTTTGACAAGGAGCATGGAGACTCTTAAAATAAATGCTGCCGGACAGTCAAATTTTTTTATAATTAAGAAATAATTAATTAGCATTATTTTATGCAGTGATAAGTGATTTTCTGAGAGGGACAGTATGTTCTTTACTATCAGGACAAGTTCCCATTTCTTTTTAAAAAATATTTTTACATAAAGATTGAGGATGAAAATTTCCCATTTTATAGATGGAGTTCTATAAAGTTCATGTGAAACAGAAAAGAAAGGGAAAACTGTAGGTAAGTAGGTGTTAGGTCCCCCTGAGGAATTTTGGATTTCTGTTTGCTAGCTTACTCATCATTCATGGGTGAAACATCTGGAGATGCTATGATATGGGCTACTGATGGCTTGTCCTGCAAGTGTTCAGTAGAGATTTAGATTGCTACATCTAAATCTCCTGGGGGCCATAGGACAGAGGACACAATTTGCACATGTCTTTGCACACGCCTTAGGAAGCTGTTTTGCTCACCATGGCTGAGCACAGACCTCTGTGTCAAAATTAGGAGAAGAATGAGGAAGAGGAAAAGCAAGGGAGCGATGGCAGACAGGAGCATGGATGCTTTAAGATCCCATTTTCCCATTTGCTATCCACGCTGCTTCTATTTATCTTTTAGTGAGTCCAATTCCCAGGTCTAGAACTGCTCCATGAAAATCCTTGTGTGTTCCTAAATACTTCTTCCTAGTCTGAATCAAAGTACTTCACCCATATCCATCTTTTTCATCAACAGAACAGTTGATTTTGCCATTATTTGCTTATTCAGTAAAATACATCTGTGAAAATTCATTTTTCAACTTTTTTTAAAATATTTGGCCTAATTCCCAGTGAAATAGCTGATCCTTTAGCAGTGCAGCAGTACGTATGTATGCTCAAAAGAGTGGTGTTTTTTTTTTCTTTTCACCCTGTATTCTTATGGTGCTTGCTGTCTTATAAATATGATCAGCAGTGCATCTTCAACAGAAATTTCTGGGAAATTCAGGAAAAGAGATCTGCTGTCACCACCACCTTTTCCAAAGATTGTTCAACTAAGCTCACCGCTCTCTTCCCTGGCTGCTTAGCAGCAGTCCGCTAAGAACTCAGGCAGTGTTGATTCTGGGTCTAGCATTCTTTTCTTCCTTAAAGGAAGTTAGCAGAAGCTTGAATTAGGACCTTATGTATGCGAAGAAATGGTTTTCGATTTGGATTCTTGCAGTGCATGGATTGCATTTTTTAATATACATTGCCATTACATGTGTTCTTTGTCAGACTTTGCCCAAGGTCATCGTGTATGTGTATGTGTATGCAGGGGGTCTTCTATTTCCTTTGTAAAATGAGCTAACCTTTAACTTTGGGCTCCAAAGCAGGAAATGTACACAGGAACCAGCCAATTATTCATCAGTTGTCTCTGAGTCATGAGGGAAATGATTGCCCATGAAGAAAGAAGATCCCACTATTTCAAATCCAGTTCTTGGGCTACCCAGTTTAAGAGTGCTTGAATGAGTGCTTAGTGCTGCAGACCAATGTTATTTATGTATTTTAAAAGGTGCTATTTTTAATGTGGATTCCATGGCATCAGCAAGATAATCTCTATCTATCTACCTATCTTGTGTGCACGTGCATAAAATGTGTCTACATTGTTGTGTTTATGGCAGGTAGGTTATTTTCCAAGCAATTATGACGCTTGCTTTGTTTTGCTTCTGGAAGAAAAAGTGTAGGATATTTTTCTGGCAAAGTTATAGCTTGCCAAATTATTTAAAAGGGAGCTGGCTTTGCCATTTTTTCTGTTTCAAGCTGGACTGAATCCTTTCTTTTCTTTCTGAGGGGAAGCTTTGGTTGATGTTGAGTGGGGCTGAGATTTTTTTTTTAAAATTATTATTACAATGATGACTATTTGTTTATTTTCTCTGCTATCGTTTGTGAGTGGTTTCCTTCCTGCAACACTGCCTTCAGATGTTAGTTGTTGGACATGGCGCTACAGCAGGTCCTAACGGGGCCATTAAACTGTTTCCCATCCAGTTGTTCCACAGACTAGAAATGAAGATGTAGAAGAGAGGGGTTTTGGGGGGTCAAACAAAACAAAACACAGCATATATATTATGTGACTTGTTTCTCATTCCATTTTGACTGTTTTCTGGTTTAACATTAAGAGTTTGGAATGCTAATCAAAGGGCTAATCCAAATGCAAAATACCTTTGGAAATTTGGACTTTTAAGGTGGGGACGCCATTCAGTGAAGAACTGCAAAATTAGGTTAGACCAGACTTATGAGGAAGCACCTCCAGAAGTGACACAGACCACAGATGTGTGTTTGGTTTTAATTTAGTTTATTCAATGTATGGTCATAGACCAAATAATACAAAGGTAAAGGAAAATTGGGCCTTCCAGGTAGAAGGGAGGGAGGGAGGATTAAATCCTTATTCGGGAACAAAGTATTTATGGTGCTGGGTCATAGGCAGAACAGACCTATGATGAAACACCATGAGAAATTACACAGACTAGAGATGGGAAATGGATTAATGTGTCCACACATCCAGCTAAATGTGGATATTACAGGGTCCAGAATACTTTTAAAACAGATTTATTACTATTGATTATTTTAATTGGACTATCTTTGGGTTTATATAAATCACTGAATAACTGGTATTTGGTTGCATAGGAAGTTAAGCAGACGTATTAATAAATAAGAAAGCATATAACTGTGCCACTAAAATATCTGTGGGACCAGGAGCAATGTGTGCTCCCCACAAAGTTTAATCAAGCATACATTGAGGTTAAATTAAATTTTGTTTCTGTTCTGACCCTGCTCAGTTACTTCTCCTGGCCACAAGCATTTTGGGAAATGTGTTCCCCAGCATGACACCAAAAGCCATGTATAGCCTTGGGCTCCCTCCCAATTTCACATCTCTGAGCTATGTACAGAGAATAAGAGATACCTGCTGTGCTCTGTCAACAAGTTGGCATCACTCCCTTGAGCACTAAGAGGGTTTTATTAAAGGACGTCAAGTGATTTCCTTAAGAGTATCCAATAGCTTCAGAGAAATGTCCAAGGAATTAGCAAAGATGAAGGAGAGATGGAGACAGAGGTTGCTTCTCCTGCCTACATTGAATTAATCACAGTGATGTGCTAGCTACAGGGGAGGGAGGAGGGGTTCACAGAGAGATCTGCGGCAATAGCTGTACATTATGCTGTGTATGTCTTAGAGAAAATCTCTGTGGTTGCCAACAGTTAACACCAACGTGATGGCACATAATTAATCAATGCTGTCTATGTAGGCAGAATGAAGACTTTGCATCATTCACACTACTAGCATGTAGCCGGTTTAATCTTCATATCAGCCTTTTAATTTTTTTTCAGCCCATGGGACTCAGGAAGCTCCCCTCATATCAAAGCTGATTTACTGGTCCTTCTTGATGTTTGACCTCTTATGATGTTTGACCTTCAGTTCCCATAATCATTTGTCCCTGGCCTGCTGTCTGGGATTGACGAGAGTTAAAGACCAAAATGTCTGCAAGACATCAAGTTGACTACTTAGCTGATGTGTACAGCAGTTCTCCATGGTTTCAGGTGTCTTTCACACCTCTGTCTGGAGTTGCTGCAGAACTGAACCTCAACTTTTTGATTGCAGAAAACATGCCTTTTTTCACTGTATTACTTCATGTAGTTTTTTTTTAAGGCCATCTATATAAACTTGCATTGTACTGCACAAATGAATACTGTACAGTTCTAGTGGAAGAAATAGCAAGAAAATGACAAAATCAGTTTCCTAGAAAATCAGTTGCTGCTGAATTTGGTGCAACAATAGGCGACATTGTGTCCTTGAATATCACACTGATAATAGAAAGGAGACAAGTCATTTGCACAACCTGGACATTTTATTTGAAGAGGTTAGATAAGGTTATCTGGCATGTCCCTATAAAACTTACAGGGTAGAAAGACATACAGCTGCGAAGCAGTTCAAATTCAGAGGAAGAATCATGATTCGGAATGTTCATGGGCACGCACGTAGCAGGAGTCAGAAACCTCTTAAACCAGTAGCATCCTTGTTTAGACTCATACAGCTGCCTCTGCAGCTGTTCAATGATCCCCAGAAACTATTTCTGGCAGGTGCTATGTAGGTGCCCACACATGTTCTAAATCAAATCTGTTTATTTGTTAACTCCTTTGTGCCATGTATATGTCACTGAAATCCCAAAGGGCTCCCTTCAAATTCAGAACGCTGCACTGACCTCATAAGACATGGCTATTATTTATATATTTATTTAATTGAAACAATTTATATGGCCACCCATCTCAGGACAGTGATGCTGGGTGGTGTGCAGGAATTAAAGCAATAGCTACAACTGATAATCCCTGACACCCAAGGTAAACAATACAGAACACCCCAATCATGAAAAACCACATAAGCAGAGACCTCACATAACCACTTGGCCCAATCATTGAGGGAAACAGCCAGGTCTTCAGAGCTTTGTGAAAGGTCCACAGGGTTGGGACCATCTGTATCTCCAGGGGATTGCTGTTTCACAGGACAGGCACTGCCACAGAAAGGACATGGCTCTTGGGTCCAACAAGATGAGACTGTTTAATAGAAGGGACCAGGACCAGGACCATGCCCCATCTACTAGATCTGGTGGTGTGAGCAGAAACAATAGGAGAAAGGCAGTCCTGCGACTAGCCTGGCCCTGTGCCATGGTGGACTTCTTGGTGATAACCAGCAACTATTATTATTATTATTATTATTATTATTATTATTATTATTATTATTATTATTATTAT